TATATATAAATGAATTCCTACATTATTTATAGTTTGTTCTGTTTTGTATATGTTTTGGTGTGTGTAGTAGTTGCTTCTTTGGGGTAGTATCTAGTTTGCGTTATTCTTGGTTGTTTGGTTTTTTAGTAGTGAGGGTGTTCAACAGCAACAGTCTTCGTGACTTTATTATACGTCACTTAAAAAAGACAGGTTAAATTATAAAGGATTTTATTTGATGGAAATGGAAAGAGAGAATTACAAAATAATATGAAATAAAACTATCATGATTAAACAACATATTTTCACATAAGAACACTTAATAAAGTTAAAACAATAAAATAAAGAAACATACCGGTATGACAGTAAGATTTGAATTGTTACACACCAGGTTAAATTATATAATTTTGATGGAAATGCAAATAAAAGCAAACTTATATATCGCAATAATTAATGTGACCGAATTTCAAAACGATATTTTCAATGATCATGCCATCGAGATTAATTGATATTTTTGGTTATGTAATGTAGAATTCAATAATTTACTACATGAACTTAGTATTATTACTTTCATTTAAAATGTCTATTCACCAATTTTAGGTCAAATTTTCTAACATCATATGCCCAATCTTATCCTGCATGGGGTTAAAATATTGATACGATGAAAAGATGACTCCCCACATCTTTAAAACATTTGCATATCATATAGGCATTCTATTCTTGAAATTAAATTATTGATTTCTCAATTATTCGTTTTCTCTATATAAGTTTTTTAAAAAAGAAACGTAAGGTCTTGAATTGTCGCCTGAGTATAATATAATTGTTAAGCCCCGCCCCAATGTCTAGAAAAAAAAAGCCCCAGGGGTCATAATTTTATATGTTAGTCCAATAAAAATATGACCCCTTTTAGAGTTATTGAAAATTTTTAAGTTTACATTTATGCAAAGCATAAAATCGGCAAAAAATATTTCATTTTAGTCTTTTTATAGAATTTTCATAGAATTTATTTTACTAGGCATGGTACACACCTTTATATAATTTTCGGTATGATCAAACGATAATAATTAATGTTTTCAAAACGATATTTTCTACAGCCATTTTTCTTAAAAACTGTACAAGTTATTAGTTATTTCAGGCAGTAGTACTGTTTTCATATCCTGCAACTCAATACGTTTTGAGAAGTTCTGGTGTTATGGCGGGGCTCTGTGTAGATTATATAAAAATGTGAAAATCTTTTTTTGGCTTCTTCGCTTCTGAGTATAAAATAAGCTAACTAAGTACATAGTTATGATGAACAAGAATGCCTCTTATAAAAATGTGATTTTTTTTGGCCCCAATAGATTCGATACACAAGTGCATGTTTTTTCTTTAAACGAGGTAAATTATTGACAAACAAGTTGATGAAAAAATATCTGCAGTCTCGTTTAAATCGTCATTTCATAAGTTTTAATGTCGATACAATGACCTTGTCAGCAAATACAATCTATCATAAAGTTAAATGTTGACTGACGTTTTCGATACTAATTGTTTGGCCATTTTACACACTGAATTGTCGACAGATTTCCCCCTTTATTTCTAAATCATAGCAAGGAGCACACAGCGGGTGTGACCGGGTGGCAGGGGATACTCACGCCTCCATTGCACATGATCCCACTATGGTGTTAAGGGGTGTGTCTTTGCTCTGCTCCTGATGTGTATAGTTTAATAGACTCTTTGAGCTTAATTAGTTTTAGTTGTCTCCATATATTTCATATTATCATAGAATAATAGAAAAAATATCTTTCTCATATACTCTCTCTTGCCTCTTGCTTAAATACAGCTTTCTTAATCAGTTGCTATGACCTAAAGCCAACAAAAACATGCGCAATAAGAATTTACGAGCAACAAAACGAAAAGTGTGATTTTAAAAAGTACATGTTTAACGTATTTCGAGAAATGATTTTTACCTGAATAAAGCCATTCGTCGATATTGGAAAAAGATTAATACAAAAACAAGTTTATGTGATCTGTCGTCTATCGTTCACAGTTAGTTTTTATATTGTACATGTCTTTCAACATGTGCTATACAAGCAATAAAGGCACTCTTATACTCATGTTATGTTCATGTACATGTAGTTGGAAAAAAGTTTGAGAAAAAATTCCTTTAAAATTAAAAATCTATGGATACGCATAATTATGCATTCGCTGTCATTTCAATGCAATTATTTTATTTCGAATTCTTACAGAGCATAAGTTCTCTTTGGTTTTTATAAATGAAAGTTTGACACAAAATTGTGGCGTCAGTTTACCGGGTAATGAATATAATTTATTTCTATAAAATAATTGATTGGATAAAAAATTCTTTTGATAACTGCATCAATGGAATATGGCGTTCACTCGCACTTAACAGCCGCTGTAAAGACAAATAATGACCCCCATCGAATAATGACCGGGGGGGTCATTTTTCAACGACAAATGATCAAATGACCACCCGTAGAAATAAAATCATTTTTGGTAGAAAAAGATCCATAGGGGTGATTGATTATTTTATATGTTAGTCCTATAAAAAATTGACCCCTGATTAAAAATGACCCCTTTTAGAGTTATTGAAAATTTTAAAGTTTATATTTATGCAAAGCATAAAATTAACTAAAATGTCAAATGCTTGGTGAAGGTAACCTGAGCTCGGCAGTTTCCGCTGTTATCGGCTGTGTGACGTAAAGAATGTGAACAGATGCAGGGACAGCTTCAATGTTGGTATACTACATGGCATGTAAATAAACATGTCCTTTGATACTCACAGTGAAACAAAAAGGGGTAAAAGATGTGTAGGGGTGGATGTTCAAGTACACATTTAGATTGATGTACTATCTTTCATTTAAAAAGAAACCAAATCTTGTACGCAAGTGGACTGTCTTTGTTAGGCTCACGAGAAAATGGACTTGGGGGCTTTGCATCCTAAAAGAAATTTTGGTGATTCTTTTTATAGGTGAAATCAAAAATAATGACAACAAAATTAAGTGTAGAGGAAAAAAATAACCATAGCACGTTTTTAATTCTATCATCATACTGTACATGCATTCTATAGTTTTAAACAATTCTGAAATGGCAAAAGAATAGACAAATGCTTAAAAAAAGTTTCAGAATTTTCATTAGTATAACATTATTTTTTATCATTGCATCCTAAAAGACTTCTAAAATATATAATGAAAAGAAATTATTTTACTAGTTTTTGTATGCTTTAAAGTGGTGTCAGGGATCTATACATGATTAGAATCATTAGATATAACCCTAAATTGAATTTCTTCTCTTGTATATTATGTAAAATAAAATGGGTTTTTAATTGCTTTTTTACATTATTTTTTCAATTCTGGTTTGAAAAGTTGAAAGAAATATGAAACAATAATTTCCCCTAAAATTACATTTTAAATTTTTTGGTTCAGTTTAGTCAATTCTTTAAATCTAGGACAAAAAAGTTGATATACAGGTTTTCTTACAAAAATAATACCGGTATTTAGATTTTGAAGTGACCCTTTGTAATATTCTTGTGTTGCACTCCTGTGCGTCTTATATGAATTTTATTCAATATTGTTTTAAAAATTATAACAAAGTTAATAACTCGATCATTCAAAGTTTGTAAATCAGCTTATTATTTTGTATTAATATGACAAACTTTTCATATTTTCAAGTCTCCGAAACATTATTAATTTCAATGTGTAATAATTAATTTTATACACTGTGCATGCTGTAGTGAGTAGTGAGTACTGATACAGCTGATAAGAGAGTTTTTGCTGCTTTTACCCACGTGTGGTTCCGTGAGCAGGCAGAAAATGTCAAATTTAATTGTTTTTATTAGCTAAACCACTGCAGATAAAGAGGTGCAGATTTTTCATGTGTTTATAGGTAAATTATTTTTACTGAATAGTGAAAAGAAAATATTTGACCAAAGGTGCCCTTTAATTTTACTATCAAAGAATTATATTTCAAGTTAATTCTTATAGTGTTTTTACTAGGGATGTCAAAATTGTCAATAATTGATATTCGAATATTCGATAAGAGTATTCGAATATATTCGAATATTCGATAAAATAAATACATTTTGCATTATGAAGTATATATTTTATCTCTCCTGTCAGCCAGTATATGTTGTATGTCATTATTTTAGAAAAAAAATTTACGTAGAGTATTGTAAATGCAAACTAATTATATATTTAAAATTTTTACAGAGTATATGAAGAGTATACATCTAAAATGTAATGAAAATTTGTTTTTGAAAATTCAAAAGCTTCTTTAGTATGTTCCAGATTAACTGATCGTCTTACCAAAGTCTACACTACTTACTCCAATTTATACCACTTTAAACAATTATCTACTGAAGAACAATTAAAATCAATTAATTTTAGTGAAGTAATTTCCCGATAATTATTTTTAATGATATATACATAAACAAGGGATCCATGTGTTTTCCGTAAAACTGTGTCCTTACAACAATACAAACTGATTGTAGGTTATTGGTACTGTTATACCACTGATTAAATGATCAAAGAATAATTTATTCTAATAATTACACTCTTCACACTTTTAAAGTAATCCAACAGGACTGTCTTTTAATTTTTTTAAAAATCAAATCTTATTCATGTCAACTGTACAAACTTCATTCAATTTCAAATAAAACTTGTCAGATTTTTCTCTCTATTAAATGCTTATACTTAAAAACCGAATATTCGAATCACAGATTTGTATTCGAATATCAACTCATCGAATGAATATTCGAATATTCGAATATTCGTTGACATCCCTAGTTTTTACTAATGTTATTGAAACTATGAAATATTTAAAAACCATATGCATGTACTAGGTAAACTTTGAATATTAAGAGTAATACAAACTTTTAATGCTTCAAACATAGAAATATCTATTGTCAATGATGTTTTTAGTGATGCTTATTTAAGATTGACGGACGAACACAGGTGAAAACACTTTTTAAATTATTTCTTTATGCTGCCGCTGATATTTGTAACAACAAAAAAGAAAGAACTATGTGCTCTGTTTAGCAAATAAGCAAAGTTTAATTAAGATTTTGATAATCTTGTTTCACACAACATTTGGTGATAGTATGCAATTTTCACAGGAATTTCAAGTATTTGTTCAAGAGTGTAAAAAACATAGACTTTAAATGTTTAATTCCTTATAGAAACTTTGCTAACTTTTTAAATTATTTTTTTACAAAGATAAATTTCTGTATAGTTCTCCTTTCCTGATCTCTACCAACATGATGACGCCTGCACCGATCGCTGCTATCATCCCTATGATGCTGAAGGCGAAAGCAAAGTGGTAACCAAAGTCTGTCGTAACGTTTGACTTATCAACCAAGTCGTTCATTTTGGCTGCAAACACTGCTATTGAAATAAGGGTAAACACCGCTACAAAAATAGACCATAAATGATTTATAGGTAACCGGGGGAAAACCATAGAATAATGTTTGCTGAGATGTGGCAAGAAATCATTTGAAAGTGTAGGATATTGACTTTTTTTAAATCTTCATATTAGGGATCTCCGTCCCTGAGCAAGGAGAAGTAATTTTTTTCGAAGTTTTTCATGTGTTTGGGTGAGTTTCAAATTGAAGCTGAGAATACATTTTTTACCAGTCATAATAAAATATGATTTAGGGTTATTTTTGCCCCGTGTTATTTTCACCCTTTCATTTCAAAATAATTTTGCCCCGTTTTAAATTCGCCCAGTTATAGTTTTAATCAAGAAATGGTACTGTATTCGTTTAATTCACCCCGTTTTAAATTCTCCCAAACGGGGCGAAAATAAACGGGGGTGAAATTTTCACTGTTTACAGTATTCATGATTAAATCGATTTCTTAAAAGAGGCCATGTATTCTTATTAGCAGGAATGAAATTGAAAGTTATCTATAAAATCCTCTAATGAAATCAGGTGGTATTAAAATAACATGATTCAAATTCAAGTTATTTACAAAATAATATATGAACAATCCAACAATTCAATCCCAAAGACCATAAACTGAGAACCGATCTAAGTCTAAATTTCATATCAATTCAACTGTAAAAATACTATTGATAAGAAAACATTTTTTTATTGTGTGCTTAAATTATACAAACATATAAATCCTTGGTCATGTATGTGTTATAAATAACAAGCTAATCAAAACCAAAATTTTGACTTATTAGTCATGTTCTCAGTTTATGATCTCCAGGCCAGTGCCTTCTTTTTACGGATGGTTTGATACCTTATTTCAAGTATACCTTAACTGTAGATAAATTTACTTAAGAAATAAGGTATCAATTTTGAGTTTTATTGGAATGTAAAACGGGTTGGTCACGTGACCAAAGCCCGAAGGGCTTTATGGACGATTTGATCATGTGCCAACCCGTTTTACATCTCAATAAAACTTTTTAAAATGATACCTTACTACTTATATTTACATTTGTGACTGATTTATTACAAATAGTAAGGTACTTAGTTTTAAATCCATAAAAGATGTAATTTTTCAAAACAACGGTACAATCTGAATGTGTTAAACACGTCCATCATCTATGGCTTCACTTTTAAATAACGTTGAACGGTCATGAGCAAACAATCAATTTATGGTCACATGACGAACGTGTGTTTACAAAGATGTAAAAAGTCTTGCTCAAATGTTATTATATAGGGGCAAACATTTGCAAATGTAAATATAATCAAAAGGTTCTAATTCATTTCTTTCACATTTTTGTTACATAATACTAATAGACTCAAATTAACAAGAGTTATTCCCCGTTGTTCGCCATATTTGGGATCAACATGCTCATATTCCTTCATTATTCAACCAACTTTAACTTTTTACACTGGGCACTTGTTGGGTAGGAAACAGTGCTTTTCTGAAAAATTTGTAAGAGCCTCTTTTATTTCATAATTATTATTCCATAAGGATTTCCCCTCAAATATTTTTGCTTCACTCGCTTAAATTTGGTAAGACAAAGAGGGAAAATTACTAGGTTGACCACCAAAATGACTGCCAACGATAAGTAACTCTTGTTAATTTGGATCTACTGAAAACTATCTATAGTATACATTTAATTTGGAATTTTATAATTTTCCGATTTTATTATGATTTACTATAGTAATAAAGAAAAAATATTTATACACATAGATACGCATTCTTTTGTGAATTCTCATAAACATTTTCCATGTTTTCGTGAATAATACAGATATTTATTTCTTAATTTTCAGAACCAGAGGGATGGACGGCCCCAAAACCAACAATGAAGAACTATTTAGTAAGTATTTTATAGATATTGATCACATATTTATATATTAATGTAGCATTAAAATGATAATATAATCCAATATTTATACAAGTTACAATCTTAATAGAATGAATCTCACCTCCAGCAAAAGCTGTGCCTATCGCCACAAACAGAACTGCTTTCATGTCTTTCAAAACAAACAGTTTTAAACCCGTCATGATTGCTGCTACTAACAATACCAGAAATCCAAGGATGCTCATTGCTCGGACTGCCTTAAACCAGTCTTTCAGAAAATATAAAATTTTAATATATAAACGCAATAGACAATACTTTCAAAAACTAATTATTATTATATCATCATTTCATTTATTTAGTTTTGAAATTTTACTATTTTATAGTGAACTTTTTAAAAATAAAATCTTTGAAATTGAGGCTGATGACTTTCAAATTTAATATTAAGCTTAATGCATCCATTGTGTCAAATATATCTTTCCTTACTTAAGCTTTTGAAGAGAATGTTTCAGTACCGTTTTTTCGAGCAAAACCTTCCACATCGCTGCATTTATAATCTCCAGTCGATATCAATTCACCACACGCCTTCCACAAACCAAAAACTGATTTGTCTTCCGTTGTATCGATAAACATCCAGTAAGGCGACGCTAATCCAATCACTTGAAAGATAACTGCACATATTGTGAGCCCCAGTGCAATGAGCAAAAATCTAGAGACTTCCATATTTTAGACCTGAAATAAATCACATATACTCGATTACAGAAGCCTGTAAAGGACACGTCAATTTCTCAAAAAAGTAAAATCTACTTCAAGATCTCGAATCACACAATCCGTTCCCACAGATTATCATTTCGTTCCCTCGGTTTATAATTCGAGATCTCGAATTACAGAATTCGTTTTCAAAGATTATTAATTTGAGATCTCAAATTACAGAATTCGTTTTCACAGATTATTAATTTGAGATCTCGAATTATACAATCCGATCCCACTGATCAACATATCAGTCTAATACGTGTAATGATTTTTGCAAACCGTTTTCTCGAATTTCATTACATACAAGTATACATATATCTAAGAACATCTATAAAGGAAAGTCCAATCCTTTATATCAATTAATGCGTTCTATGTATTTTGTTTCAGCAATCGGGTCGTTCTGAACCTTTTGTAAATATTTAAGTCAACGTGTATTCAATTTAGAAAAAAAATTAATTACATAGGACCCATGTTCACTTCTTCTAGGGCTTTCAAAGGATCTTATATATATATGTAACGCCAAGATGTAAGACATTTTGCACAAATGTCAGTACTAGCATAATGACCTCATATTCTATTCATTAAACACATATTGCCATATCCGATAGGTACATAATTATGAATAATAATTAAATCGTGGGAACTATTTACATTCCGACGGAACGAATTGTTCAAACTGAGAGAATGAATTGTAATCCGAGATAACGGATTGTGTAATTTGAGGTAACGAATTGGTAATATGTGAGAACAAATTGGTAATTCGTTATAACAGATTGCCAATTCGAGAGAACAGATTGTATAATTCGAGATCTCGGTTTAATTTTATAATTTTCTGAAAATCCACATGTCCCTTCACGGCTTTCATACTAGATAGCCTCAACCGACATATATATGAAAAAAAAAAAACAAATTAACAAAAAGCACCACCCAGTTTATAGCTGTGCAGAATTCAAACTTCCGCCAGAGTTCCTAGATGAGAGGGGGCTAAAAATAGACTTGAATGAGTTTGCACAAGAAGAGAGGAAAATGTGGGGGATGCGAATTTCACCTAATGTTTGCTGCACTCGTGAACCCATTGACTTTACTTTTTTGAAGGGGGCACAATAAAAGCAGGAAAAGAAAACAAGGTTTTCATGAATTTATTTAACATACGATATTTTTCATATCTTTGAATTTTCGTTTTCGTTTTGGATCGAAATATTCTGTGTGGAATAATTTTTTCAAAAAAGTGATTGAGAAATTTTTGACATTATACATTGCTAGGGAAATATTTCATCAAAATTTATGATAGGAAAGAAATCAGCATTTAATATTTAATAAGTTGAATCAGATTTATTTTAAGATTGTATTTTAGATACAGAATAGTTGGTCAATACAACAGTATACAAGGCTTACACGAACGGAAAGTAGCTCCGCCCACTGTAGTCCCGTTCAGAACAGTTTGTTATATTGATTTAATACCTAGATTTAACCATCACCGTATGGAATTTAACTTTTTTTTTGTTTTGTTTGAAAAATCAGCGTAGGGTTTATAAACTGAGAAATGCTAGAGTTGCTGTTATTTGTTTCGTTTAGACTGCCCTTTGTTTTGAAAAGTCCGGTAGGTGGCGACACCTCCATCCTGTTTTTGGAGGATATAAAATCCATCCTCTAAAAACAGTGGCCGCCTAGACCTGTTTAATTTCCAGGAGCAGAGAAGATTATTGAAGAATAAATGCATTTTCACTGTATAATCAATAGAGCCCGACCCTAGCACCAGGACCCCTGACCCTGGCATCATGAAATACACAATTTTGGAATAGGAAGCCCAATTCAATATAATTTTGACGTCGCGCACGGTGTTGGTACACATTGACGTTACGTCAAAATAACGTAAAAAAGTCATAGCGTTGTTATAACGTTTTGAACCTGCATATTTTAGATCTTTAAATGAATTTATTTTTCAAAAATTTAAAAAAATTAAATAAAAGGCACACAGTGTTCAATGTTTGAACCTTCTTTTTTGAAATATTTATATGTTTATTAATAAATCTTAATTATAAAATTTTAATTACTGAAATGCCAAAGGCACTCAGTGAATATTCCTCTTTCTATTTTTCTCACTTGTTTGTCTTAAAAGGAGAAAATATATAAGTAGTTTTCCCTTTCAACTTCCTCATGTTCCTTCAATATTTTTTTTTTCAGTTAGGTCATTACAAGTCTTTTATTTCTATATAGCGTCCACATGCGGTTTGGGTGTATAGAGAAAAAAATGAGATATAAATTTTTATATTTCCTACGTTTCAATGGAAATGGTGTCATTTTGAATTTAAAAAAAAATAGTATCAATTTAGTATATTGAGGGGTTGAAAGAAAGGAGGGATGGATACGTTTTACGATTATCGAAAATCTGGTTTATCACGAAAATTCTAAAATCTTTTTACTATTTTTGTTGAAAGAAGGGTGGGGGGCTCTTATAATGCATTCTTCGTTTAGTAGGGTATTTTTGTGGTACGATATCATTTTGGGGTTTTCATAATTTTTTTTTCCTTTTGTACATGTACACATGATGATTAAGTGTAATAAATATACTTTGTGAAAAAAATCTCCAACAAGCTCCGGGGTTGAATATTTGGGGTGGGGTGGGGGATGGTTCCTGCATGAGCACAAGTACCTGTGAGCTGGTACTACGGACCTGCATAGAAAAAGCCACGGCGATAATAATTTGACGCTCCCGACGTCATATGTACGCACTGCGTAAAATGACGTTTTTCGTACCTGTGACAAAATGGCTACACTTTTATTGATGCTTGCATTTATCTCATGTAGACCATTACTGTAAAGATTGTGTAATTAGTAAATGCAGCTAAATGTTCTTTCAAGCTACATACATGATTGCTTTATATCTTACATTAATTCGCATATTTTTGATATGTTACTGAGACATATTTAGTAACAATACAGTGACTCGTGCGTGCATAACAAAATGGCTACACTTAAGAAAGCCTTCCTAATATTTACGTTGGAAAAGTAATATAAAATGTATCAACTCAATTAATCTAAGAAATATATGTACTAAAAGATTATTCGCCAAAATTAATATTTTTCTGGGATTTATGTCTGGTACACATCTCCATTTCGGCTAATGTCAGTGTAAGGAAACGATTTCTTACTGTTAGACATTTTACTTACGCACCTTAGACCCAGTCTAAATTCATGAAATTGTTCAAATGATGTTAAAACTCAACAATATCTTAAAGACTGCATATATTCTATTGTACCCCCTAATTTTCATTGAATTCAGAGAATTGTAAGTGCATTTTTTCATACCTTTCAGTTGCGCGAACAATATATTGATGTAACGTCGGACACGGGAATTTCGCCGTAAATGACCAATACTGAGCAACGCCTCATCATAGTTAAAATAATTTTAAATTATTTAAGAGAAAATTTTAAGAATTATTCATTACTTTAGATAACATAAATGATTTTATTTTTAATATAAAGTAAGTATGACATCGCGAAACCGCCATTTTCTTTGCGACATAAAGAGTTAGATATTATAGTATCAACACCGTGCGCAACGTCTATGTACTTCATTAGTTCATCAAATACGCAGGAGCAGAGAAAAAGATTTTCAAAGAATTTATGCATTTTCACAATATAGTTAATAGAGTGCTGCTGTAACACAAGAACCCCTAACACCGGGGCCATGAAATCACAATTTTGGAAGAGGTAGCTTTATTCAACATAACAATGTACTTGGTTTGTTTATTTAATGACAAGAAACAGAAAAGAAGATTTTCAAAGAAATATTAAAGCATTTTCACTATATCATCTATATAGCCCCGCCTTAGCACTAGAACCCCTGTCTCAATGCTGATTACATGTACATTCATGCAAACAGTTTGGCTGCTTGATGTCCTGGAATGAAGAAGATTTTTAAAGATTGCATTAATTTCAGTGGTTTTGGCCCAAACCCTCAGGCCCCGGGAGGGAGCAGGGACCATGAAATTCACAATTTTGTTCCCCTCCACCCATAGATACTTTATGATAAAATTGGTTGAGCGGTTGCAGCGAAGAAGCTGAGAATTTTAAATGTTAACTCACGACGCACGACAACGGACGGAAAAGGATAGCATATATACGTCACCTGAGTTTACAGCCGCAAAAAATACCCGTTATACGGAATATAAAGTGTTTAAAAAATTCATTCTACAATTTTCATTCAGTTTTGAGGACGATTAAAATGAGAAAATAATCAAAATTTGTGGTATTTTATGTTCACGGAATCCATTCTTGCTGTAAATAAGATTTTTAATTGCATAAAATGATGTAAATCACATTAAATGGTTATGTAACCTCATAACCTAATAGAAATTTGATATACAATTATGAATATTTGATTATTTACCCATTAATATTTAAATCAATATTAATTAATCATTCCCATAAATTTTCCCATTAATGATGTAAATGATTACATAATTTTAAACACACATATACCTTGTGGTCTGAAACCGCAATAAACAAATTAAATATGGGTTTATTCATTTAAAATAGGAAGGTGGAGGTGGATAAAAATCGTAGAAAAATTTCCAGTGAGTTAATTCTCCGGCGTCCTGGAGGAAAGTGACGACCAACGCTATTTCTGAAGAGATGCACCCTCAGTTTCCCGCGAAACGAGTCTATTGGTTCTCTCTTGCGGCATTCATATAATTGACTATATACACGTAAGGAGATGCTTTTGAAATTAAGCTGGACTATTTAACCACAGTGAACTGATTACTCTGAATGCATAAGAGATAAATTCACAGGAACAAGCAAGTGCATTTGTAATTCACTCGATTTTGATGTACTCCTGTATGCAAAGGTTTTAAATTGTGTTTATATATCTTTTTTTATTTATTATTAATGATATTTTTATTATAATTATTATTTCTATATATATTTTCATTCATTTTATTTTATTTCAATATTTTTTTCTTTATGATCTTAAGTTGCATAAATTTAAATGCAATAGGATAAGCCTCGGAAAGGCATACAAAATTAAAAAAAAATTTCTAAGAGAAAGCCCAGTAACTTTAATTGAGTGTCAATTCTGTTGCAATGAGATAAGCCTTGGGAAAGGCGTAAAATAAAGCATCTTTGTGAAGAAAAAAAAAAACAAACAAGTGAATGGTGCTAATTCCGTGCATTGAGATAAAAATACATCTCGGAAAAACACAAGTAAATTGTGTCAATTCCCGTGCCATGATACGAGTTTCAGGGAGGCGAAAAATAAAATTACATCTCAGGAAAACACAAGTAAATTGTGTTAATCCCCGTGCAGTGAGATGAACTCCAGGGAGGCATAGAATAAAAATACATCTCGGAAAAGCACATATAAAATGGTTTTAGTAAATTCAGAGCAATAAGATGCGCCTCGGGAATGCGTCAAGAATAATCCGCAATTTAATTGTGTTAATTCTAGTGCAATGAGATAAGCCTCCAAGAGGCAAAATATTTTCTTAAATCTTCTCGGAGAAATATAAGTATATCTTTGTGATTTTAATCTCAATACAAAATAAACATGAACATCTCAGAGGCTAAAAAAAGATGAAAACGTTTGAGGAAAACATCGAGAATCCCAATATTCTTATCATTTATTTTTTTTTTATTTGTTTGTTTATTTATTTATCTTTTAAATATTTTTTTAACAAGATTTGAACTGTTTATTAAACGAATGGAATTTTAATTATCAACATATTCATCGCATTCTAGATAAAACTAGAGGTACTGTGAGCAACGAGCTCACTAAATGATACCCCCTGCCTCCCATAATGTCCATGTGGTGCTATGTATTGTTTTACGGTAATGTGTAAAGAAGAATAACTCGTCCTATCAAATGTTATCCAGAAGCTTCTATATTTGACGTCATAGGTAATGTCCATGTTTTGCTATGGGAAACTTCAAATACGTGTCGAATAAAAGGTCACAATGGCAATATGTAATAAAGATTCTGTGAACGGACGGACGGTCGGACGTACAGGCTGACGGACGGAAATACGGATTACTATAAACTCTCCCACTTTTCAAGCGGGGGTATAATAAGACCATGCGAACTCCGATATAGATAGACATGACCCTGCTTATTCAGATGGACGCCGTCTGGAAGAAATATATATCGCTACACGCCTTGCGATTTGGTGATGGGAGAAGGTCATTATGATCCCAGAAAGAAGCGATTTGAAGGACTTTGGCAGAACACTAACTTCATCCACAATACCGTTGTAATTTAATCTTCGGTTAAAACGTGCCAATTGATAATTTGCACACGTGAATTTGGGAAACTCCAAATCTACCATTGAGTACGTACAGAGACAATGGATTCTCATTTCCCAGCTATTTCTTCGGGGGAACTGACGGCTCGGATGTCATTACATGTACCTATAACCAGAAGAATTATTTTATCAGATTTCTCTCGTTCAATGAAATGCGCATCCTCACGTACAGAGAATGCCTGATATTGTGCAGCCTCCAACACCTCTAAAAATATTATGTGTGTCGCTTGGAGGCCGAGACCTTCAATAATGTCTATCATCAACTTCGCTTTTAAGGAATTGGTGGAAGCGACGAACAATGGAATGACCGAAAATACAAAAATGTAAGTATTTTGTTGGAATCCATGAATAAATACAAAGTTAAAATGATCTTACCGCTTAAAATCGAATAAAAATCGTAGAAAAATTTCCAGTGAGTTTATTCTCCGGCGTCCTGAAAGAAAGTGACGACCCACGCTATCTCTTAAGAGACGCATCCCCAGATTCCCGCTTAAAGGCAGAGATTTTAAGCACCGCCTTCAAAAATACCTGGTCTGGGTAGCCCTGTCAATCAAGTGCATGAAGGTCCATCATTGGATGCTGAAACTTGACATCTACTTACTGGTCTCTGTGTATACCCTGTACACCTTGTTTGGGACTCATGGGGAACTTCAAATTAACTTTTGATCCTTTGATGTTTACTGAACATTGTATACAGAAACTGCATTACTGTGAACATTTTTAGATTGATAATATATTAATAAAATATACCTTTATTATTTGAAAGGATTATAATATAATATACATTTTTTTTAAAATTAACCTTTGGTACCTAGAATATTTTGTTCAAATGAAATTTCGATATCAATTTTAATATGCTAAATCATTATGGTAAACCTCAAGTTGAAATGGTATTGATAAAGTTTAGAGCAGCACTAACTGAAGTTATTAAATTTTAAAATAATGTTTCTAATCATGGGTCACATATTTTCCCTTTTTTAATCAGATAAGAATTTACAAGCAGTCTTTTTAGCATGTTTAATGGTGTAAAAGCTTTATTAAGGTTGGGATAAATCTAGATATTTTATTTAATGAAATGTAGTTAACATGACTCTCTTTTTATTTGATTAATAGAGAGAATAATAGATGAATAAATTTTAAAAGTCGAATTGGGTTGTTACAGGAGTTGTTTGTTTTAATTAACATATACACTCAAATCTAAGATAATCTTTGTTTTAAATTTGCATTTATAGTATAATTATATCATATTTTTTAAATGGTTAGGGGTGTTTTCAAAAAGTCAAAAAGAAATCAATATAATTGAAAAAACCTTTTACTACTACTTTTAAAATTGTCTCAAAATCCCCAACACAGGTAAAGTTTGACACTTGGGGTATTTCACTGTGTATTTAATCACTTCCTGTGTACAGAGATTAGGAGACAGATGACCACAGGTAGACTGCTAGCACCCAAGACATTCACACCTGTACAAAATAAGCCCCTCCCTCACCTGGAATTTACCACCCGGTAAAAAATCTCTGCCTTTAACGATTCTATTGGTTCTCAATTGGGGCATTCACATAACTGGCCATATAGAAGGATGCTACTGAAATTAAGCTAGAGCGATAACTCCAGCATTTGAGAAAGAAATATAATATCAATATACATAAAGTATTTTAAGGAACCTAATCTGAATCTAGAACTTTACTACTAATTTATCATACTTTAATAATACTTTAATAATATTAAATCATTTAATTCACCCAAATCATTATAAAGTATAATGTAAGACACCAATGCGTAATATGACATTGGTTTCGATTTAGACGAAAACAAAGAGAAACTTATTTTCTAAGAAAAGTGGAGTCTGCATATATTTCAAACCCCATTTTCTTAAAACCGGAGGTTCAGGAATTTCCAACTTATTTTATGAAAATGTCTCTATCCACATATTTTTACCAAAAACAAAGTAAATAGGTAGTGTTATGTGTTGGCATAGTTGCAAACTCTTCAAGATAAAATTAACTGATCATCATCATCATCCTGATAAAAGCATTCAAATAATTATGCATGTCATGCAATTTTCTACTATTGGTAAATATAAAATCACATTTTCTTCTCTTTTTACATTGAAAATTAAACGTTTCATAAAATACAAAGAATGTGTAGTATACATGTATAACTCCATTTTGATTTAAGGTCAGACGACACGTTCGATCATCAAAAATAAATATATTTTTCCAATCTCTTTTATCTCTTATCCGCAACTCCTCTTATACTACTGAGTGAAATTTAATGAAACTTTCACAGAATCTTTATTACATATTGCCATTGTGCACCTCCTAATCTACTTTTTTATTCGACACGTATTTTAGGTTTCCCATAGCAAAACATGGACATTGCCATTATATGTTTACCTATGACGTCACGTATAAAAGCTTCTGGATAACATTTGATGGGACGAGTTATTCCTCTTTACACATTAAAACAATATATAGCAACACATGGACATTATCGGAGGCGGGGGTATCATTTAGTGAGCTCATTGCTCACAGTACTTCTAGTTTTCATTTTATTAAATGTTGAGCTAAATATTTTTAACTATAAGAGCCTCCGTACATTGTCCTAGTGCAATGTAAACCGTCAACTGTAAAAGTCAGCGCTCCTCGTAAAAGTCCAATAAAAGAATTCAAATATGCTATTCATGCAGTTTTCTACAATTGGTAAATATAAAAACACATTTTCTTTTAAAATTGAAAATCGAACGTTTCAAAAAATACAAAGAATGCGTTCTTGATAACTTCATTTTGATTTAATGGTAATTCTATTAAAAAATTTCTTAAAACACCAAATATTTTCCCCCTAAAACACTCCAAAAAGTAGCTTTACCTTCTTCTGAATGACCATTTTGAAATTGCTTTAGCTTATGTTATGAGAAAATAACCAAAAATTCTGCAGCATCTGATCAACGGCCAACTTTCTTAAAGGAACTTGGACACAGATTTGAAGTTAATATGTTCACTATAATATTACGACTTATATATTTTAAAAGCATTTCACACAAAAATTGATTAAAAATCTTATTTCATTTGAAAGTAATTAAAACTTCAAATTTTTTGGCGGTTTTGATTGACACATCCTTGCACTTTCACAAAGTTTAATTTTATTCTAAATACTTAGGGAAAAAAGCAATCTTGTTGTGAATAAATGAAAAATATTAATACTATAATCCAGAAAATTCAGAGAAGAAATGTTAAAAAGCAAAATAAACACACAATACATTGTCAGTCCGTGCAGTTGTGGTGAGCAGACTTTGACGATTGAACGCAACCAGTGAATCGAAAACATCAACAATAACAGAGCTCGTGCCCTGTGTACAAAAAACTGTGTACATATCACGAGTGTGATCGATTTACTAAACTCTGTACACAATGGAATAACGGTACTTGTGAAGGAGTTTTGCTTTCTAACATTTCTACTCTGAATAAAATTATTTTTCTGGATTAAAGTTTTGATATTTCTTATTAATACACAACAAGATTGACACTTTTCCTAATTTTAGGGTCACGTGATGGCGACAAGACCTGCTTAAAAACTCTCTCCTGGGTAAATGTTGTAATAATCATATTTCTTGGTGATTTGGTGAAATTTAAAAATTTCCAAATAGGACGTTTATGTTCTTCTGGAGGTATGTGTCAATATATCTAACTTTTTAACAACACGCAAAACTGATTTTGGGGATAGTTTAAGAGAACAGGATGAATATAGACTGAGGCTGTATTCATTGACTGAATCGATCGTGTGTATCACTGTCAGTGTGTCTAAACAAAAACCTTTGACTTTTGTAATCTTGAAAAAGAATGATATAAGCAAGTAGGGAAAAACACTACAAGTATGAGTGATACGAGCATTCCACCTATAACACACACACACCCACAACTCAGGGCGTTAAAAGGAATGTAGACTACACAGTTAGTCCATCAGAAGTGGCGGATCACGTAGGTGCCCCCGCGCCATTGCGGCGCAGAAACTCTCTTGACGATCTAACTTCTGTAAAAAAAAAAATAGTACGTCATCAATGATCTTGACACATCAAGGTAAAACATAAAACATCACGGAACTAGTTCAAGCTACTATCAACAGTGCTGGGTTCGTCCAAACAGCTGCACCATCTTTTATTCCGGCACTATTACCACAACAAGGAACAATCATAGCTCAGTCTATACAACCATTAACTGCAAAAATTGACACTGTCATTGAAGATTTAACAACAAGAAAAACAGACCTCTGTCAAAAAATAGAAACACAAAATGCTATGATTCAAACCATAACTCAGAAAATCAAACACGAAGAGCAGAGGCTAATACTTTGACCGGAAAAGTAGAAACACTAAAACTCGTGCTAGAGGAATTGGAACAATACGGGGGAAGGAATTCTCTTAGATTCCATGGAGTTTCAATGGATCATCCGATGTAACTGAAGTCAACAAAACTGACGAACTTGTGGTGGGAATATGCAATGAGAAACTGAAATTACTTCCCCCCATCACCTGTAATGACATAAGTAGGTCTCACATAATAGGAAACATTCGGAATGGGAAAGCCCAAATCATTTGTAGATTCAATAATTGGAAAATTAAAAACAGAATTTACAGGGTGAAATCAGAGTTAAAGAACCAAGAGGAAAGCATAATGTTCATTTCAGAGGACGTTACGCGCCCCAGGCAACAAATTATCCAAGCTTTAGCCAAGGCCCGTTATTTTAAAATAATAGACTCATACTGGACAAATGATGGTAGAATATTTGTTAAGGAAACTGACCAGTCACCAAAGCTTTTGATAATGCATTACAGTGATGTATTGTGTTTCCTTCCTAAAGATGTCCGTGACAGTGACGACGAGGTTTGACTCATAAAATAGTCGTTTTTTATAGTTTAAATCGTGACTTTTTGAATAAGATGTATATACATTTATTAGACCCCTATTTGAATACGCATCAGAAGTATGGGATAATATTACCGCTGACTGTGATAGGCTGGTGAAATTACAATTAGAAGCTGCGCGTATTGTCACTGGCCTACCTATATATACTCTATATTTCGAAACAGGATGGGAAACTCTTGCTTGTAGACGGGAAAAGAGAAAATTATGTTTAATGTATAAAATAAAACATGGCCTCGCACCAGAATATTTACAAAATCTATTACCCTCTGAAGTCTCTCAAACTACCCATTCTGATCTACGAAATAGTAATAATATTGTTATTCCCCAATGTAGAACAAATTTATTTAAAAAACTCATTTTTTCCATTTACAATATCAGCATGGAATGCATTGCCTACTGATATTAGAAACCTTGACACTGTAAATGCTTTCAAAAAGAGACTCTCTAAAGGTGATTCTCCCCCAAAAGATTTTTCTTTTGGCGACAAAAAAAAAAAAGAATTCAATTTTAACCAGAATGAGACACGATGAGAGCGATAACTCCAGCATTTGAGAAGGAAATATGTTATCAAT